AGTTCCCATCAAAGCTTCTCTCACCCCTCCCGTTCTTTTCCTTCCCGATATCACAGCATGGGCTGCAAGAGGTGAGACCCCCCCCCCACGCGCACACACACACACAAACACACACACGGGTCTGAGAGAGTAGCTGAGAGCCATGCAGAAGCCCTTCAGGCAGAGGCGATCAGGGGGAGGGGTCAAAATGGGAAGCCTCCTGCCTGGAGACTCTGACAGTTTAAAAAAATGAACCTGAGAAGCGCTCAGAAGGCAGTCCCTTTTCCAGCTTGCTCCTTCCTTCCTCTCTTCCTTCCTCCCCTGCTTTTCTTTCCTTCCTCCATGCTCAGGAAAGGATGACGGGAGTGGGAGAGATTGCCAGCACTGCCGTTGGCCATATTTTTGCTGGTTGTCGCTATTCCATGCAGGCAGGGGCAGTCCCGGTGAAAGGGAAGCCTGCTGGCTGTGAGGTGAGGTCAGAGAGCAGGCGTGGCGCCGATCTACTGGCGGGGGCCATCAAAGCCAGAATGCACTAAGCCTTAGATCCACGGGGCAGCTCAGAGCCACTGAGGTCCTCCTTTGCCGTCTCTGTCTAGCCCCCTGGGGGTGCATGGAGAAGGTGGCGAGCGTATGAGTACTGGCTTCCAGGGGGAAATGGAAGCGCTTCTCCTACCTTTTTCCTTTCTCAGTGATCAGCAGGGACGGTCAGCTGCGATACTGGGCGCTCGCCATCTTTTCATGTGCCCAGGGGCATGATGGGGCACCCGTTCGCTAGCCCTTTGCCGCCAAAACCACCTTTTATATTGCCTTTCCCCCCCTCCTCCTCTTCAGGGCACCTCCAGCTCCTGGAAGTGCTGATCAAGTGGAGCCTGGCACTGATCCTGAGGCTTCTGCTGAGCCCCAACAGCCCTGCAGCTCCAGCTGCCTCTCCCTCAGGCTTCTGCAACGCTGCTGCTGCTTCAGCTCATTCCTCTCCCCCTCCGGTACCACCTCTCTAGGACGGTCACGTACCACCTGCCAGGTGGCAAACTACCACTTGGTAAGGCCACACTTGGAATACTGCATCCAGTTTTGGTCACCATGATGTAAAAAAGAGGCTGAGACTCTAGAAAGAGTACAGAGAAGAGCAACAAAGATGATTAGGGGGCTAAAACGTATAAGGAATGGATGCTGAAATTGGGTATGTCTAGTTTAACAAAGAGAAGGACAAGGGGGGACATGATAGCAGGGTTCCAATATCTCAGGGGCTGCCACAAAGCAGAGGGAGTCAAGCTATTCTCCAAAGTGCCTGAAGGCAGGACAAGAAGCAATGGATGGAAACTAATCAAGGAGAGAAGCAACCTAGAACTAAGGAGAAACTTCCTGACAGTAAGAACAATTAACCAATGGAACAACCTGCCTCCAGAAGTGGTGAATGCTCCATCACTGGAACTTTTAAAGAAGAGACTGGACAGCCATTTGTCTGAAATGGTGCAGGGTTTCCTGCCTGAGCAGAGGGTTGGACTTGATGACCTCCAAAGTCCCTTCCAACTTTATTATTATTATTATTATTATTACTACTACTACTACTACTACTACTACTACTACTACTACATACAGTAGTATACAACAATATTTTTACTCTTTCAAACCCTGGTCTGTCTTTAAATCCTCTCTGCGCTTTTCTCTGTTGTTTTTCTTTATTAATGGACAGCAGATAAAGCGCTGGCACCTTCCCAACATCGATCTTGGCTTATGCGATGTCACGTTTTACGACCGCATCACTTATGATCACAATTGAACACAGAATTTATGTGGCTAAGTAAGAAATTTGTTAAGTGAGGTTTGCCCCATTTTACGACTCTTCTTACCACATTTATTAAGTGAATCATTGGAATTGTTAAATTAGTAACATGGTTGTTAAGTGAATCTGGCTTCCCCATTGACTTTGCTTGATAGAAGGTCGCAAAAGCTGATCACATGATCCTGGGATCCTGCAACCGTCATAAATGTGAGTCAATTGTCAAGCATCCAAATGTATATCACGTCACCATAGGGATGTCGTAAGCTTGAAAAATGGTCATAATTCACTTTGTTCAGTGCGGTTGTAAATTTGAATGCTTACTAGACCTACTGTTGTAAGTCGAGGACTACCTACATTGGAATTCAACATAATTCAAGCACAAGCAATAGAACAAAGTCACATATATATCAATGTATCCTGGGTGAAAAGAGTTTCAGGATGATGAATTCCTCTCACAAAAGAAACCACAAAGATAAGCCGTGAAATCCATGTTCAGATATGTTGAAGCATCTTGAAGCATTAGAGCCATGGTGGCGCAGTGGTTAGAATGCAGTATTGCAGGCTACTTCTGCTGACTGCCAGCAGTTTGATTCTCACAGGCTCAAGGTTGATTCAACTTTCCATTCTTCTGAGGCCAGTAAAATGAAGATCCAAATTATTGGGGGCAATGGGCTGACTCTTTAAACCATTTAGAGTACAATAAAACACTATCAAGCGGGATATAAGTTTAAATGCTATTGTGATTTTGCCTTTCTATGATACGATAAGAATAAGGAAATGTCTAAATTCAATTTAAATAAATTAGATTTATTTAAAGTTAATTGGATTCTAATTACATTTGAGTAAAATTAATTTTGGATTTAAATAAAATTAAATATTACCAGTATGGTTATTCATAAGACTTTTTAAAATTCAAGTGTATTAAAGACTGAGAAAAATTTGCTGAAAAGGACCAAGCTATTGGCAAGACAGAGATGCTAATTGCATTCTTTTAAATTGCTTCTTAACTCTATTTCCCCATTTCTTTATTTCATTAATTTAGATGAATCTCTTTGTTGTTCTTGCACTGTCACCTCCAAATCCAGACTAATCTCTTCAAACCACGGGAGTTTTCAGCTCTTTCGGCTAGAAGAAAATTGGTATTTTCTTTAGTGCAGTTGCCTTACATTGTCTTCAAAATTCCTGCTCATATTTCCTGAGCTGTATTCCCTACTGAATACTGAAATGAAGCCATTTTTCTTTTTCCCCTCATGGAATTTGAACTTTATATGTACTCCTCAAGGTTTGCCTTCCGGCATTTTATAATTCCACCTTTTCTCCAGTCACCTATGAGACACCATTCATTTCTCCATCGTGGACCCTTGTTTTGAGGTAAAATTTCTAAAACTTCCATGATTTGAGCTTTCTCTCCATTTTGGAACTTGTTTATTTTTCATGCTGTTTCTTCAGTATTCTCATCTTTGCTGCTGCCACTTGCTGTTTTGAACCACAGTTGGCCTCCCAGAGGCAAGAATTTGAAAAGGCAGCTGTAATAATTGAACTCACCAAATAAAAAAATGAATAAAAATCTTAATTTTCCTAAGCCTTCACTTCCTATTTTGTGACTCTGCCAGCCCCTTTATCTTCCCTCACTTCAGGACTGAGTTTGCCAACAACCACACCACACAACCTGGGCTTGAAAGAGAGGCTCCTGTTTCTTCTGAGCCGCCACAGAGATTTTGTCAATATTCACAACATGGAAGTTCGTTCTTAGACTTTCAAAAAGGAAAGTCTAGAAAATGTTGCCTGCTGGAGACAGGGAATGTTAGAGGGACCCTTTCCTTCTACTCCATTGCCCATCATCCCAGGCCCGCATGGAACATGCCGATCTCCCCTATTCCCTTGCAGCGTCTATCTAGCGTTGCATGCAGGATCCACCAGGGGGCTCCCTGGGCTGCCGTTACAAAGCCCTCACCTGCCCCCGCTTCAGGAGAGAACTGAGCATGCGCTGTTCCAGCAGGTCGAGAGACATGCTCGGTGCATTGTCCAGAAGAGGCTGATGGTGCTTCCGCCCTTCCTACGGGTACGATTCTGCTCTCGTGCTCAGTAAGTGGGGAGACGTTTCTTTCACGGGCTAGACCGTGCATGGAGACAAGCAAAACTCGGAGGCGTGGAAAGGGGGGAGCCCGGGGTCCCATGTTCCCCTGCCGCCTCTGTGCATGCACGGGCCAGGCAGGGAAGAAATCAAAGCTCCGGACGCGCTGCGTTGCCTCCAGGAAGAACATCAGGATCGCCAGAAAGGTCGGAGCCATTCAGGATTAGGCTAAAAGTGGGGAACCTGTTTCCAGGAGATGCGTGAATGAAAACATCATGTTAAGCTATGGTTTACTGATTCGGGTATTATTCTATTTGCATTGAATGGTGTTTTGTTGATTGTGATTTCTCAGGTAGCCATTAAAGTTTGGGTCAAGAGTTTAATGAGGTTCTGTTGGTTAAAGTTACACTGGAAGTTCAAATATTGATTGATTTACCTATTAAATCGATTTAGAAAGACACTCATCTCAATGGCTATTTGTGACCTGAGACATTGATGATCTGGATTGTACAGAGGTTGGTTTTCATGCTGCAAGCAGCCATCAAAATTATTTGAATAAGTAGGAATAAGAAATCAAAAACATATTTTAAATTTATTTATCCAATTGTTGATCCAGAAAGTCAACCTGTATTTCTGGAATTTTCTTTTGTTTTCCATTTCAGATATATAAGTTGGAAATCTTTCCTGGTTGCTCTTGAGTCTTCAGTATCTTTTGTGGGAAGAGGGCTAAATGGACTTAGGAAATTTTGACAGACCTCTTCTGATTAGGAAGACCTGTGCAGATCCATCAGTCTGTTTTGGAGCTGGATTAGAGACCAGAGAGAAGATGGAGGGACAACGCCCAGCTGGAAAAAGCCCTGCAGCTGCTCAGTCTTGGAGCTTTGAGATGAATGGGGCAAGTCCTGGGCAGAAGAACCAAGAAGAGGAAGCCAAGAGTTCAGAGGTCCAATGCTGTCACTTCAGAAAAGTGCAGTTCCAGGAGGGGAGGGGTCCCCGAGATATTTGTGGTCAGCTTCATCGCTTTTGCTGTCAGTGGCTGCAGCCAGAAAGACACACAAAGGCCCAAATGCTGGACCTGGTGCTCCTGGAGAAGTTCCTGGCTTTCCTTCCCCCAGAGATGGAGAAATGGGTGCGTGAGTGTGGAGCAGAGACCAGTTCCCAGGCGGTGGCCCTGGCTGAAGGCTTCTTGCTGAACGTGGATGTGGAAAAGATGCAAGAAGAGTTCCAGGTGTGAGAATATAGTCTTAACAGGTCAGAGTTTTCTGGAATTATTAACTCCTAAAGTGAGTTTTTCTATTCTTCCAGAGGATATATTTGGGGCAATTCTTCCATTCTATTTTGGGTTTCAACAATGGACATTGTAGTAGTTTGAAGCTGTACTATGATAATTCATTTCTATTTCTGTGCTCTTCCTTTGTTTCTCCTATCACATCATGTCCAGAAATCCTTGGAAGCTGCGACTGAGTATCCCAAGGGGGGGAAAGATTCATTCAAATCTTCTCAAGAGCTTCTATTCAGGGAGAACTTCCAGAAAGGTCAAAGTCAGGACATCACGCCAGGTAACAGAAGGTCTTTCTGTGTGATGTGAGATTTCAACATTTAGCTGATTCTTTAGCTGCACATCATTACAATCTCTCTCTTTAACAAATCTGCTTCCCCCATTTTTCTCTGTCTCACAGAGAGTAGAAAGCTGTCCGTGGAATTTGTAGACTCACCTCCTCTTTGTGGTGGAGCTGAAGGATTGGCTGAAACTGTACTTCAGGTAAGGAGGAGAAACGTCGGAAAAGGTCCATGAATCTTGGATGGATTTCATTTTGTTCTAGAGTTCAATGTATAAAATTGCTGTTTCTAAGCAATATAAATTTGACATCCGGTCATGAACATTCACGATCAGCTTAGTCTATCCTCTCTCTTCTGGGGAGATCCTTTGTGAGATGCTTTCTCCTCCTGCTTTGACATCAGATTTCATTGACCAGACAGTTGTGAGCATTGAGGCTGTTCCTTCTGTCTCCCAGGGTCATTCTCACATACCATTACAAAAAAATCCTTATTTTGCCTTTTGAAAAGCATCTTTGGGACAACTGTGATCTGGTGATTGAGAATCTCCATAGATACTAAGTGGATTTAAGACCCAACTACCAATGACCAAGAAAACTATTTTAGTTGGCTATGCTGAAAGGCATTCCAAATACCGCAAACTAGATACAATCTGCTTCAGTTATGTCATCAGCCAAAAGCGGTGAGATCTCACTTTGAATTCTGCAGAGGATGCCCATTTTGTTCACTAGATCTCTTTCCTAGAATTAATGGAAGAAAAAACCTCAAATTATTCTTGGGATTATCTGTTAATAGGGAAATTTCTTTTCTTCTTCAGGATGTTGTGTCTTTTGAGGAAGTGGCCGTGTATTTCTCCAAGGAGGAGTGGTCTCAGCTGGACCCTGCCCAAAAAGCTCTCCACGGAGAAGTCATGCTGGAGAATTCCAGGAATCTGGCTTCTCTGGGTAAGAATCCCTGTCTGTACTTGGAAACATAGAGAAGTCATGGGGTGTGGGGGGGCTTAGATGATATTTCTGATAAAAACATCATTTATTGATACTCTGCCTTTACTTTTTGTAAATAATAAAGCTAGCGGACAAACCCCAATATTCCTTCCTCCTGCTGTTTTCCCCACAACAACAACCTTGTGACCTGGGTTCAGCTGAGGGAGACTGGCCCAAAGTCACCCAGCCAGCATTCATGCCTAAGGCAGAACTAGTACTCCCAGTCACCCAGTTTCTAGCCTGGTGCCTTAACAGTTTGACCAAACTGAGTTTATGGAAGAAGGAAATTTATTGGAAGAAAAATTGAAAAACTGCCTTGTCTTCCTTTTGACATAAAGGAAATGTGGTTGTTTTTTTTTTTTAAAAAAGAAATGCTTTCTGCTCATAAAATACAAAATATTCATTTCCATGCCATAGAACAGTGGTTCTCAACCTGTGGGTCGGGACCCCATTTGGGGTCGATCGATCATTTCATGGGGGTCGCCAAGCAAGGCTGTCCGCCATTTTTTTTGTCCACCATTTTTTTTGTCCGCCATTTTTTCCCCTTTTCCGGCGGGTGCCTTACCTCCCTTGGGCTGGGCCAGCTGGTGGTCGGCCTGCTCCGTCTTTGCTGCTTGCCAGCTACGCCTCGGCCAGCGCAGGGGGCGGAACCACGCATGCGCGGTGCTCCCGGGCAGGGAAAGTCCTCGACTTATGACCGGTTGGGTAGTCCTCGACTTACGACCGGTTTAGTTCTCGACTTACGGCCAGTTTAGTCCTCGACTTACGACCGGTTTAGTCCTTGACTTACGACCGGTTGGGGTCGCGGCATTAAAAAGGTTGAGAACCACTGCCATAGAAGATATTAGCCAGAATGCGTGGGAGAGGCTGCATGCAGGGATGGTGTGGCCTCTCTTGAGCAAGGTCCTGCCTACCAGGGGTTCAGTATCCACTCCGGATCCTGGTCACTGGCTCCCTGATGGGTGTGAGCTGCTATAAGCAGGACTGGATTTAGCCCTGAGAGGGATGTTCCCTTCCTAGAGATGTGCCCACATCTGTACAGAGTTTAACAGCCTAAGTTGAGGGTGGGGAGCAGAAATTCCCCTTGGCTTTGAAAGATTCTGCTCTGCAGACAAGTGGGGATGAGACTTTCATTGAAGTTTGGGACTGGGTGGATATGTTGCTAACCCAGCATGATACAGTATTCAGTGCACTTAGGGAGTACGTGGCACTATGGAATAGTCCCAGGTCAAAGATTAGATCAGGAAGAAGAGGTTTGATTGTTCCCCTATTCTTGCTACAGTTTTCATTTTTTCTTTTTCAAGGTTTTAATGCGCAAGAAAATAAGAATTGCAAGAAAGAATGCCAAATGATCCATTCAAAAGAGGGAAAAGGGAAGTTTCCAGATCAGATAAAGCCAAAGAGTGATGAAACAAAGAAATCACAAGGTGGAATGAAAAAAGGCTTTCCGAGGGTCAGTTGGCTTCATAACCATACAAGCATTGATATGAGAGAAGAACCATATAAATGCATGGAGTGTGGAAAGACCTTTACTCGTAGCAGTAATCTTAGTTCCCACAAGAGGATCCACACAGGAGAGAAGCCATATCAGTGCCTGGAATGTGGAAAGACCTTCATCTATAGCAGTCGTCTCAATTCCCATAATAGGATCCACACAGGAGAGAAGCCATATCAATGCATGGAATGTGGAAAGAGCTTTACTTGTAGAAGTCGTCTCAATTCCCATAAGTGGATCCACACTGGAGAGAAGCCATATCAATGCCTGGAATGTGGAAAGAGTTTTAGGTGGAATTGTGATTTTATCTCCCACAAAAGAATCCACACAGGGGAGAAGCCATATCAATGCACGGAGTGTGGGAAGAGTTTTGCCAGGAATTCCACTCTTGCTTGGCATAGAAGGATCCATACACGGGAGAAACCATATCAATAAAGGAAGTGTGAGAAGAGCTTTGAAAGAAAAATTTAAAAACTGCACAGGTTTCCTTTTTCGTATAGAAAATGGATTTCTTTCACAATGCTTTCTGCTGATAAAATACATTTCGATGCCACAGAAGATATTAACAGGAATCTGAGGGGAGGGTTGCATACAGGAATGGTATGGCATCTCTTCTTCCCCCTCAAGAATGGGCCTCTTACGGCAGCCTCTCGGTAAAAATGTTCTCTGATAGCTTTTTGGTTTTTTATTATTTTCTGTGATTTGCTTTGCGTTTCATGTTCAAGAGACTAACTGTTAAGCATCAAGCAATGTTTTTTTAATGGGGAGCTTTCTGTGACTATACTCCCCCCCCATCTTTATAAATGCAGAGGAGATTGTCATCAAGGAAGTGTCAGCTCTCCTTCAACAATGGAAAAACAAAAACCAAAGGAGGAGAAAACGGGCGAAGAAGGGGTAACCGAGCAGGGATTTTGAATAGACTAAGGAAAAATGGAATAAAAACCTCTTCTTTCACTCTTGCTAATAAGATGGATTAAATACTTCTTTTAAACAGATGTAACTCCGATTTTTACAAATCAGTCGCCCTCTGCTTCACTGAATCCTGGCTAAATGAGTCAATTGATGATAGCAGCTGGCATTTCCCAGGATTTCAGACACAGAGGGCGGACAGAATTACAGAAACCTCCGGTAAAAAGAAAGGAATGGCGTCTCTACTTCTATATCAACATCCGATGGTGTAAAAATGTAACCACACTAAAGAAATTCTGTGATGTGGAATTAGAGACATTAATTATCAATTGTAAACCATTTTATTCTCCATGAGAGTTTTCCTCATTCATTCTGTTTGCAATGTATTGTTGGAGGAAAGGTCTTCATCGTGGTTCATCCAAGCTGGGAATAAACATGGCAACTGCTTTGGCAAGAAGGTTGTAGTTTATTGGAGAGGAGAGCCAGACAGGAAAATGGTTCTGGCAGCAAGAGAAGTGAAAAAAAAAAGGGCTTAGCTCATGTAGGGAATAGGGTTTTATACACTCTGGAGCCTTTTGCTTGGAGTTATTTCCTGTTCCTGTTTTGAGGCTATTTCCTGTGTCATGTATTCTGACCTGAGTTTGGGTGTGCCCTTTGGCCTTTGTGAGTTAATCCTACCATGTCCTGTCTCAGGTGGGGTATGCTTTACAAACTCTAGCTGACTTGATTATGTGGGCTGAAGACAGATACGCAGATTTGCTCCTTCTTGTGTTAGCAGATTTCAACAGTGCTTAACTTAAGCCAAGACCTACCAAGATATTTTCAGCATGTCAATTGTCTTACTAGAGGCAAGAATACTTAGTCTAAAATTTAGGACTTGGGGAGAATCAAGAAGGAAATCACCTCCAGGAAATCTCAGAGCAAGTTTGGTGTCCTTCTTTTCCCGGGCTTCCCAGAAATGAGCACCTGTCCTGCCGCGGTGGCCAACAATGTTTGCCCGTTTCAGATGCGGCTCGGTATATGAATAACAACAGAATCCAGCTATTTTGCCTTGATAAGCTTTTAACGCGTTTATTCAGCTGCAGCCAAGAAGGCTTCACACACATTTACACTACTCAGGTCACCCCTAGGACACAGATAAACCTCCACGTGACCTCATTGACTCTCTAAAAGAATTCAAATGACCAGCTGTCTGCAAGTAATATAAATACTTCCATTCCACACCATTCAGTCGGAGCTGAAGAAGCTTCTTGGATGAGAAGTGAAATGTCTTCAAAGAAAAACAAGAAAGTCCAATTACTTCCTGAAAAAGCCCCTTTGGGACAGCCAAGATCTGGATGACTGAAAATCTCCATAGACTTCCAAGGTTTGGTATTCACTCCTGAGCCTGGTCACTGGTTGCTCGATGAACTGAGCTATTATTCAAGCCCTGATACTATGGAAGACCAGCTTGGTGTATAATAAAAGTGCTCTTAACCATGTGTTGTGATTCCTCACCAGCCAGTGGACCCGGCAGCTGAGTCTGAGGAATCAGAGGAGGAAGAGGGGCCTGGAGTGACATCAGAGTCAGAGGAAGGCTCAGGCTGAGACACAGCTGTGCTGGGAGTCTGAGTTGAACAGTGATGAATCACAGCTGGGAGATATCCAGGATGCACGAAAACGCAGGCAAGAAAAAAGAGTAGGACAGAGGAACGCAATGGGGTGTCTCCAAAGGCAAAGGAGAAGGCATTTGGAAGCCAGGCCTTGGCTGAATAATAAAAGGAAGGTGTGGGAGGTGCTGGTTGCCAAAGGCAACCGTTGGTGTTGAGGATTGAGTTTCTGTGAATTGTGTTTGTTTGCCTTGGACATTGACTCAGGACTGTGAATAATAAAAGGGAATTGTTTTTTTCCTGTGGTTCCAGACTGCTTGTTGGAAGAGGGGTTTCTCCTTGTGAGCATAACAAGGACTCACGTAGGCTGGGACAGAATACCATGATCGAAATGAATGAACTAGACCTGGATGTGACCTGAGAGGAATGTTCCTTTCTTAGAAATATGCCCACTTGGGCATCATTTGGTGTCATTACAAGTTGGGGGTGAGGAACTATAGCCATCCAGAAAGTCCTTTTGGCTATCAAAGAATGCTCTGCAGAGACTGGAAATGAAGACTTTTTCACGGAAGTTGAGGAGCTGGTGGGGTGTCCAATGCACTTCGGGGGTTCATGGCACCATGGAATTAACCCAGGTCAAAAACTGGCTCACACACACCAAGATTAGATCAGGGTTCTGTCATAGATTCATTGTGATTCAATCCTGATATATTAGGATCAGTAGGAATCCACTTGGAAACATGACATTGCTAAAATCGTAGTTTGGAATCTTCATATTTGCCAACAAAACACCCAAAATATATTGATTCTTTTGCTAAATTTCAGAAGAAAATATTTAATCATTGCCCTAGCCTTGCTATAGTTTACATTTGTGTGTGTGTGTGTGTATGTGTGCGAGCGGGCAGCCGGGCAGGGTGTGTTTGCGTCTCTCACCCCTTGCAGCCCAGTGCCCTCAACAGAGTCCTTCTGCGATGGCAGGCTTCAAACGAATGAAAGCTGTTTTTTTGGAGTACTTGTTTCTTTTTCTCAACATGCCGCTGATTGCATTGCCCCCTGCCCCCCTCAGCTCCCGCCCCCAGCCCAGTGGAAGGCTGCAAGAAGCTCCCATCACAACTTCTCTCACCCCTCCTGTTCTTTTCCTTCCCGATATCACAGCGTGGGCTGCAAGAGGTGAGACTCCCCTCCCCCGTGCGCACACACACATACATACACATACACACGTGCAGGTCTGGGAGAGACAAGCTGAGAGCCATGCAGAGGCCCTTCAGGCAGAGGCGATGGGGTGGGAGGGGTCAAAATGGGAAGCCACCTGCCTGGAGGCTCTGACAGTTTAAAAAAACCGAACTTGTGAAGCGCTCAGAAGGCAGTCCCTTTCCCAGCTTGCTCCTTCCTTCCTCTTTTCCTCCCCTGCTTCTCTTTCCATCCTCCATACTCAGGAAAGGATGACAGGAGTGTGAGAGCTTGCTAGCACTGCCGGTGGCCATGCTTCTGCCGGCCGTCGCTATCTCATGCAGGCAGGGGCAGTCCCGGTGAAAGGGAAGCCTGCTGGCTGCTGATCTCCTGGCAGGGGCCATCAAAGCCAGAATGCACTAAGCCTTAGATCCACGGGGCAGCCCTGGAGCCAGTGAGGGCCTCCCCTGCCTTCTCTGCCCAGCCCCCTGGGGATCCACGGAGAAGATGGCGAGCGTGTGAGTGCTGGCTTCCAGGGGAAAATGGAAGTGCTTCTACCTTTTTCCTTTCTCAGTGATCAGCAGGGACGGTCAGCTGCGATACTGGGTGCTCGCCACCTCTTCATATGCCAAGGGGGCATGATGGGGCACCCGTTCGCTAGCCCTTTCCCACCAAAACCACCTTTTATATTATCTCCTCTTCCCCCCCCCCTCCTCCTCCTTTTCTCTTCAGGGCATCTCCAACTCCTGGAAGTGCTGATCGTGGAGCCGGGCACTGATCCTGAGGCTTCTGCTGAGCCCCAACAGCCCTGCAGCTCCAGCTGTCTCTCTCTCAGGCTTCTGCAGCGCTGCTGCTGCTTCAGCTCATTCCTCTCCCCCTCCGCTACCACTTCTCTAGGACGGTCACGTATCACCTGGCAGGTGGCAAACTACCACTTGGTAAGGCCACACTTGGAATACTGCATCCAGTTTTGGTCACCATGATGTAAAAAAGAGGCTGAGACTCTAGAAAGAGTACAGAGAAGAGCAACAAAGATGATTAGGGGACTGGAGGCTAAAACATATAAGGAATGGATGCTGGAATTGGGTATGTCTAGTTTAACGAAGAGAAGGACAAGGGGGGACATGATAGCAGGGTTCCAATATCTCAGGGGCTGCCACAAAGAAGAGGGAGTCAAGCTATTTTCCAAGGCGCCTGAAGGCAGGACAAGAAGCAACGGATGGAAACTAATCAAGGAGAGAAGCAACCTAGAACTAAGGAGAAATGTCCTGACAGTTAGAACAATTAACCAATGGAACAACCTGCCTCCAGAAGTGGTGAATGCTCCAACACTAAAACTTTTAAAGAAGAGACTGGACAGCCATTTGTCTGAAATGGTGTAGGGTTTCCTGCCTGAGCAGGGGGTTGGACTCGATGACCTCCAAGGTCCCTTCCAACTTTATCATTATTATTATTATTATTATTATTATTATTATTATTATTATTATTATTATTATTATTATTATTACTACTACTACTACTACTACTACTACTACTACATACAGTAGTATACAACAATATTTTTACTCTTTCAAACCCTGGTCTGTCTTTAAATTCTCTCTGCGTTTTTCTCTGTTGTTTTTCTTTATTAATGGACAGCAGGTAAAGCGCTGGCACCTTCCCAACATTGATGTTCACTTATGCGATGTCACGTTTTACGACCGCATCACTTAGTAATGGGAGTTTTGATCCAGATTCCATTCCTT